CAGTGCATTGTGGGATTGAATGAGTGCACTCGAGAACGTCCACTATGGTTTCGGACACGGCTGTTCCCTCAAATAGTGCCCTATTTAAGGGTATAGGGGCGATTTCGGACACAGCCCCTGTTTACGTTGTTTAAGTAGTGATCCATATCGGTGTCAGACTACACTCGATTCTGCGACTTCACTCCAGCCCCGAATGTGTAATCATGATTGTTTGTTAATGTATTTGTCATGCTGTTCTGAACCTCGACACATCTTGGGGTTTGTTCTTTGTTTATTGATATATATTTCACTATTTGTTCCGTTTGATAGTCAGCATTGATTTAGCGTCAGGATTTAAGTCTCGTGTCAAGTGCCGTCAGTGCTTGTAGATAGGCCCAACTCTAGCCCTCGAGGTCCATTTTCATGCACAATTTAGCTCCAACCCTAATCAAACACTCCTGAACAAGCTAATCAATGTCTCTAGGATTACTAGAAAGTTACAGGCAGGTGAGTTTGATCAAGGTGGGAGCTAAACTCGGAAAATGGAACTTGAAGACCAAAGTTGAGAACTCCTGGTGTACATCTTAGCACACTTGTGTAACACTTTCTGGTAATAATTAGCCAGGGTGAGAAACACAGTGTGTAAACTAGTGTAATCTAGATAAGGTGTTGATTAGCATACTCTGAAGTTTTCTGTTTTGTTCCTACATTTTCTTTTTTGGTAGTTTAGTTTTGGGTTTAGTAGTTGAGGGAATTGTTTGAATGTGATTATTTGTTTTGACGACACTCTTGTTTTCTATGTTTGTATTTCTTTTATTTAGACCTATATTGTTTGCAAGTTATTCACACTGCACTCTCACTAATAAATAGGACTCACTCTGTACATATGAGGCTCGCTTGAGATGAGCAAACTCTGTGCAGAACCGATCACCGCGAGATGCATGCCAGTTAGAAATGTGACCGAGGGCAGTCCGCCTTGCTTTTGATGTCATTCCGACGTCACATACTGTATGCCAAAAATGTCGAGCGCAGTTGCTCTCTTCTCGAGCTGCTGCGCTGACCAAAAGCACGATGGGAAATGACTTGCTGACAACACAGTTTAACCCACGTAAAGGTTTTCATTTATAAAGCTCTAAAAACCTTACTGACTGATGTTTTAGTGCACTTCCTGCAAGTATGGAAAAAATAAAGGGTCTCAATGAAATATGTGCAGTTTCACATGATTAGTGCACATTGTCACATGACCAGAGCCGTTTATTTCCTGTTTGCACCTTGAGAAGATGATAACTGCATCAAAGCTCCAAAACAAAAGGCTAGTATTTATGTCAACATAAAGATATGACAAATATTTTTGGTACACATTATCTTTAAGGTGTCTAGTATTAATATATGAATTCACATATATTCAGTTTTGTTGAGTGTGGTCATAGAATGAGTAAACATGTTGATGGTCACTATAGTAACAGTGAACTTATACATATACATATAAATCCAATTGCAGTTGTTAGTGAAAATTACACTAAAATGTTGCAATGACAAAATATTGCACTAAATTAAAATTTTAAATGTTACAAATAAGTTACAATATTGATGTTGTAATACTGGTAGCACTAATATAAAAATTTGATGTTATATTTTACAATAAAGTAACAATTTTGAAATGTGTTGATGGTTGAATTTTTTTGTCTTTTATCTCAGTATTCCTATCAGTGTTGTATAAGGTTTTTTTTATACCCCCTAATGTTACAAAAAATTTACAATATTGATGTTGTAATACTGGTAGCAGTAATATAAAAATGGTATGTTATATTTTACAAAAAAGTAACAATTTTGAAATACGTTGGTTGAATTTTTTTGTTTTTTTTAATCTCAGTGTTCCTATCAATGTTGCATAAGATTATTGTTAACATAGTTTAAATATGCTGTTCGCTTCATAAAAAGGAGCGAACATGCTCTCAGAGCTAATTCTTTGGCTAAGAAATTATTACAAAATGATATACAAGATTTCTGGAAAGAAGTTAAAGTCATGAATGCTAGTAACATTCCTCTGCCCTCTAGTGTTGAAGGGGTTACTGGATATGAAAACATTGCAGATCTTTGGAGAAAGCATTATAGTGACCTATTCAATTGTGTTAAAAGTGACGATTTCATTATTGGGAATGTGTCTTTTAATAATGAGGTTATCAAGGCTGAGGAAGTAGCTTCTGCTATAGGAAAATTAGTTCTGAATAAATCTTGTGGCCTAGATCAGATCACAGCAGAGCATTTGAAATTTGCTAGTCACAGACTTGTTGTTTTATTGGCCTTGTGTTTTACTGGAATGTTGATTCATGGCACATTGCCCAGTTCTATGCTTTCTGTTTTGCTGGTACCTGTAATTAAAGACAAAACAGGGAAAATATCTAGCACAGAAAACTATAGGCCTATTGCCTTAGCCAGCATGATGTCTTAGAGATAATTATTACTGGATCGATTTCAGCAATATGTTATTATTACCAATGATGAGCAATTTGGTTTTAAAAGTAAGCATGGGACTGATATGTGTATATATGCATTGAAAGAGGCTGTGAGTAAGTACAGAAGGCAGAACTCAACTATGTGTCTGTGCTTTTTAGATGCCTCTAAAGCAGGGGTGTCCAAACTCGGTCCTGGAGGGCCGGTGTCCTGCAGAGTTTAGCTCCAACTTGCCTCAACACGCCTGAATGGAAGTTTCTAGTATGCCTACAAGAGCTTGATTAGCTGGTTCAGGTGTGTTTAATTAGGGTTGGAGCTAAAATCTGCAGGACACTGACCCTCCAGGACCGAGTTTGGACACCCCTGCTCTAAAGCCTTTGACCGCATTAATCATGGAAAGCTATTTGTAAAATTACAGCAGCGAGGGGTTCCCCCATACCTAGTACGGGTTCTGCATTTTTGGTATACACACCAAACAATGCAGGTTAGATGGGGCACGATTATATCGGAGCCTTTTTTAGTGACAAATGGGGTTAGACAGGGTGGAATATTGTCACCCATGCTTTTTAACCTTTATATGGATGATCTTACTCAGAGACTTAAAAATTGTAAGACTGGCTGCATGGTGGGAGAAAGACTTTTGAACCATCTGCTGTATGCAGATGACCTAGTCGTAATTTCACCTTACTCTGCTGGGCTGCAACAGTTGCTTAGAGTCTGCTCTGACTATGGTGAGCAATATGACTTAAAGTTTAACATAAAAAAGAGTGTTGTTATAATAGTGAGGACAAAGGAGGACCGTAAGGCTGTGTTCCCCTCTTTTTATTTGGCTGGACAGGAGTTATCGGTGGTGAATAAGGTCAGATATCTTGGTCACATCATTAGAAGTGACCTTTGTGACGATGAAGACATTCAGAGACAGTATTGTAAATTGTATGCACAAGCTAACATGCTTGTTCGTAAATTTAGCATGTGTACTGATGATGTCAAAATAGCTTTGTTTAAAGCCTATTGCACTCCACTGTATACTGCCCACTTGTGGTGCAGTTACAGTAAAGCTAAACTGAACAAGTTGCAGGTTGCATATAATGATGCATTGCGACTTTTATTAAAAGTCCCTCGGTGTACAAGTGCCAGTCAGCTTTTTGTTCAGAATCAGGTGTCTATGTTATGTGCTGTTATCAGAAACTTTGTGTATAAATTTATAAAGTGACTTGAGGCCTCTAAAAATGAAATTATTGTGATCTTGGAGAAGAGTACTGTTAGGTACACCTCTGCACTTTGGAGGCACTGGAGAAAGTGCTTATATGGACATTAGATGTAAATTATTTTCTTGTTATTTGTTGTTGTTGTTATCCATGTTGTATGTTGTTTTTGTATGCTTTTTTATTTTATATGGACCTTTTTGAGTCTGAAATAAAGATATCATTCATCATTCATATTGTTATGCATAATAATAAACCTAGAATGTGATCAAACAGTTTAAAATAGCTGGGCTAAGATATATAACTATTTTTATGACTGCAGAAATATGGTATTTCAGTACACACATTATCCCACTGGTCACAATTGTGACTGAACATAAAACACAATTTTTCACACATTTTTCAAAAAATAAAATAATAATAATAATTATTATTGATTATTTCAAAGGGTTACTAATGACACATCATTTGGATATTTTCATGTCTGGGAAAAAATTGGGATTAAACGGGTTAATGCTCGTTGGTTCACATAGCCTAACCGTAAGATTGTCTTCTCTTCTAAAACGTTTTATTAAAAAAAAAAAAAAAAAAAAAAAATTATGTGATATCATGTGATAGTGTTTAAATTATGCATGAATATTCCCAAACAGTATGAGTGTTATCTCTGTGCAAAGTATGTGATTGTTGTCATATTTATAAAAAAAACAAAAACAAAAAAATCTAAAAATGCATATTTGTATTAAAGTAAAAACGGATGATAAATACATATTTCGAATGGAATTAAATATCAAGTAGGCTACTTTGAGTGTCGGTAATAATATTTATTTTCATATAAAACAACAGAGCTGAAATTATCTTGTTTACTAGTAACACAGCGCATGGGCGATATCCGCCTTTGGTCTCGTATGTATCTGTAGGCTACTTCGAGAAGGCAGAACTGTCTGTCTTGACTGCACTTATTTCACCCCCCCCCCTCACTGCAGCTGCCTACTCTAAAAATGAGCCTATTATGTCTCAATATTTGATTGTTATTTGCACACTGCAGTACTAATATCTCACTTAAATGTTGTGCAACCATCCCCTTAATAACATCAACGGCAGAAATATCAAAGGCATCAGTAATGCACTCCATATTCAGTTATTTGTAAAATAAATAAATAGACAACAAAAAAGTGAAAGCCAATGGAGCATGGTGAAGGGTAGGAATAATATGATATTTATTAATTAACGTTAGGCAAATTTCTGTAGGCTATGCAACTGGTGAACAACTAAATCTAAATAAAATCAGTTTTATTTTACACAATAACTCCAAAAGATGTGATACAAAGAGTGAAAACAAAACAGAGACATCCTGGAAAAGAATAAAATTTAGTTATTGTTCTCTAGAATTGTCTGCCGCAGATGGTAGGCCTATTTGATCATCGTTTTTTGGGTACATTTTCATACACATGTTCTGCGTTTGATTTCTGCAAGGAGAAATGCATTCAATCAGGAGAATCGATTATGCAACAGGCAGTTAATAACCTGAATAGCATTCTTATTCTCTTAATTAACGTTAAGAATGCAAACCTTATTAACTGAACACATGATCTTGCCGTTTTGTTTTGTTGAAAAACAGAACAGATGCTAACATGTAACTTGGAGCAGCAAGAAGAAAATTACATCAATCCCGTTCATCACATGACTTTTTATGCCGTTAAAACATCAAACAGATTATTTATGTTCTTAAGGTTTGTAACGACACACTGAGAATGACTGTCTTTCAAACAAAACAGCAAAGACAGCTACTTGTAGCGCATCTACAAATCAACCAATGACCTCTAAAGCTGCATTTCACCTCGACGATTATGAACCGCAGAGCAGCTGCAGCTCGAGACCAGAATTCAGCACAGCAACATGGGTTAACAGCTTGTGGCCTACTTTCTTTCCTGTGACTATCTACTGGTACAGAAGCTAACTTTGTATGTAATTTTAGAATAACAAACCAATTTAGTTAGAACTGTTTACATATGATTATAAACAATGATAAAGTAGGCCACACCACATTCATAACACCTAATTCATGATAATTCATGACATGATATGTAAAAAGCAGCAAGTCAAAAAGTTTAAACTAAAGGCGCGTCACAATGTGTTTTACTTGGCTTGTGTATGACCTGAAAGTCCCCACTGACTGTCCTTTTATGAAAAAAAAAACTGACCGTCTGATGCTGCAAACTTCAATCACACTAAATGACTGCAATGACTTCTTGCAGCTTCTTACCGTTTTTCTTGTTTTTGGTTTACACAATGCTGAATCCGTTCTGTCTTCCTCCTGGATCTCAACTACATTAACAATAATACACTCATGTGTTAAAATGACCAAGTTTTCAATATATTGAAATATGTGTCTTAAATATTTGTAAAGATGAATTGTTTGTCCTCCTGACCTGTTTTTCTATGTTTCTTGCAGATGCAACACATCACAACTGCAGCTACAATCAACAGAGATCCTGCAGCAGAGATCAACACTATGTACAATAAAGGTAAACCTTGATCTGTAATGGACAAGATGAGCCATTAGTGAGAGTGAATCTGTCCATCTGATCTACAACAAGCACTATCAAACTTGATAGATCAGCTCAGTTAATCATCGTTAATATCAACACCACCATACCTGCACATGGCCAACAGAGTTCACAGATGTTCAGATGTTGAGTCTGGTTGCTGATGGGATTGTTGAGCACACAGCTGTAGCTGTTTTTATCCTGATATTCCACCTCCAGAGGTAGAGAGAGACTGATGCTGAGATCAGACTCACTGATGCTGGACAATAAACTGTTTCCTTTGTACCAGGAGAGAGTCACATGACCCACATTCACCACTGAACACAGCAAGGAACAATTCTGCTGTGATGATGATGATGGTGAAAGGTTTTGTGAAGAATCTCTGGTAATGTTAGGAGTGGGCAGACGAGCTGAAAAACATGAATGAGCAGAAATATAAGTAAATCAGTCTTGTTTCTGATGTAGTGTGTTGACGGTCAGTAAGCGTTTCTGTAAAATTAACTATAAACTTTTATTTTTGAAAATAGTATCATAATAATATTCAGAGTTCAGAACAAATTAAGCTCAGTCAACAGCATTGATGGCATAATGGTGATTACCAGAAACAAAAAATTATGACTCATCACTTGTTTTCTTTTAAAACTGAAATGGAGGTTACGTTGAGGTGTCTACAATGGAAGTCAACGGGGTCAATCTGGAAACATTAAAATGTTAAACTCTGCATATTTTACAACTTTGTGTTTGACAACAACACCATAAACCCTGAAGCATCTGGGAAAAAAATATTTAAACAGCTTTACAGCTCAAAATAATACACTACTTTGAACAGAAGAATTAATGTGTTTTATGGAATTATAAGCTTCACATTTTTGCTTTTAAATCCTTAAAAAATTCACCTCATTGACTTCTGCCTCAACTTAACTTTTTTTCTTTTCTTAACGAGTCAAAAAAAGTTTTGTGATAATCAAGCATATGTGACAAATTATGTCCATAATTGTTTCAACCCAAAATATTCATTTAATAAAACAGGAATATGCTCAATGCTCAACAAATTATGTCTCAACTCACCATAGACAAAAATTGAATGATTTAATTTTTTTAAACTGAATTTTTTTGATGACAGTTCCATTCCACTTATCTGTACTTCATAGGGTCCCGCGTGTTGAGCTGTGATGTTTGTGATGGTCAGAGATCCAGTTTGATTGTCCAGCTTCAGTCTGTCTCTGAATCTCCCATCAGGAACATCAGATGTGAAGATTCCATAAACTCCGCTGATTTCAGCTATCATAGATCCAAATTTCCACAGTATGTTAGCTCCTTCATGTATTTCAGTAACATCAGTGTGTAGAGTGACTGAATCTCCCTCCATCACTAACACTGAATCACCAAACACACCTGATGAACAAACAGATTTTACACCGATTAATCTTGGTTTAGAAAGCCTGGAATCAGTTTGTAACCTTTAACAGCAGCAAAGACACCCAACAAAATTTAAGTCGACATATGAACAGGCGTGTGAATCAATAATTTGATCTTTAATGTTTTAAAATAAATGTGACGTACATGATAAGTTCATTAAAGATGGGTAAAACTAAGTTTAATTCTGCTAAACACCTTCCGTAGCTTCATATTTTTATATTTGGCTCATTATAAGAGGCTCACTAAAAACATATCTGTGAATTTGCAAAAGCAGAAGGAGCTTTATTTCTCCGAAATGAAAATAAAAGAAGCTGTAAAAATGCATCTGTAACTTACCAGTCAGACAACACAAACAGAACAAAACAAGCGTGAGAAACATTTTCTTCAGTAGTTCAGCTAAATCTCTGATCTAATAAGACCTGCTGATAACACTGAAGCTGGTGTGTGAATCCTCCCCCGACAGAGTTTGACCCTCCTAGTTCACACACACTGTACACATGTTATGATTGTGTACATGCCAATAGTGTGATTCGTTTTTGTGTGATTAACCGCGATTAACTGCACACTTAGCATGAAATTAAGCATGCGCCATTTATCTTAACATATTCATTTTGTCATTATTTACTATATCCAGCAAAGTAAACCAACATATTTAAGGGTGATTCTTACAAAACTGTATTCTCTGCAAACTTAAATTTAGATGTTTTTTTATTTTTAAAGGGCACTTGGAGACTCCAAAAGGACACCAAAGAACCAAATGATATAAGAAGTTCACATAATTGATTTATATATATATACACACCAAAGCACCCGTTAAAAAAATACATTGATAAATTCAGAATCCATAGTGTAAATACATCTAATGCCACTTCAGATGCAGCTTCTGTGGAAGGATGGAGTTTAATACTGATTTAATTTGAATGGTTACAGCTCTACAGTTTCTTATTATTCTAACTGAATTAATTGAAACAAAGTTAGAATTTGATGACATTTAATAAGGTTAGTGAACAAGTGACAATTTAAGAAACAGTGGGAAATTACATTTGTTTTGTTATATACAGCAACTCCTTTTCAGTTAATTGTTATTTCTACCTCTTTTCTACTCACAGAGCACTTTATTTTGAGACTTAAGTTAGAGAACATCTGTAATTTAGCTTAAGTAGACAAGTCAAGTTGCGATACTGAACAAGACCACATGGAGATGCCAAAAAACCCCTAAACCAACTGCCTTGAGTTGACCACTTATACTGGACCTACTACAGTTTACGGATCCATTCAGAATGACTAAACACAGCAACATACACAGGTGACATGACAAATCAAAACATTATCCTGAATGTGTGTGGAAACGTGAATGTGCTGAAATGTGTCTTAAATACAATCTGTGCGTCAAGAGCTCAGTTAAATGGTTTGTTTGCATATCAATATATCAGACTCACACATACTTACTGTACGACTCCTGTACATCACCGCAATTGTATTTTTCTTGTTTGCAGTCTTCATCTATCAAAACTTTACTAGGGAGATACTGGTTATCCAGACGAGAAACATTTGCTTATCATACAGTGGTGGGATATTTTGAAGTTCCGTTTAGTTGGTATTTAACAAAATGCAATGCTTGAGGAAACAGTCACGGAATATGACAGAGCTCCTGTTTTAAAGTGAAAGACACTGGAAATAATAATTAACTGAAAACGCAGTGTGAGTCTCTGTTCCTTTATGTTAGTGCTGTTTTAGACTAAAGCCAGAGACACACTGCACAATTTTCACTGTCCCAGATGAAAGATTGGCATCGTGAAACAATCGTGGTGATTTCTGTGATCATGGCTTCTAATCGGTGGTCATGTGTCTTACCAACACGGTCTCACCCCTATTCGTCACATACTGCCGTTTGGTAATTTCCCCCTCACGTCCATAAGCCGACGTTGAGGGTACCCCCTATTCGTCGCTTGCCAGCATACATGAAAACTACAATTGCTAAAGTGTGATTTATCATGCTCTTTTTGTTTACCTTAAACTGCACTGTGTGTCATTTAGTGATCTAATCTTATAGGATTGCTAAAATCGTGCAGTGTGAAGGCTTAAGGCTGCTTGTCCACCAAAGCGTTTTAGCCATCTGAAAATGCCAGGTGATCTCCTGAAAACACTGTTGTTGCTATCATATGGAATACCTGCTATCTATCTATCTATCTATCTATCTATCTGTGTGTCAAAAATTAAAAATCTTTATCAAACAGACATTTTAATTTTGAAACATTGATGGTTTCTGACTATCAAATATGAAAATGTAGAGTGGAAATTGGATAAGTCATCCTAAATGTAATGATACATCTTATGTATTTTAAAATGATTTTATAATCATTGCATTTTTGTGAACGGTAAAGAATATCCATCTCTCATTGCGGGTCTTACAGAAGTGTGACAGGAGAAGCTCAACATCTGAGTCAAACTGAAACCTGCTGTGGTCTGATTTTCTTCAAAAATTTAGTTTGATCTGTTTACAAGCAGCTTGTGCAAGAGAAGGCCGTTTGTTTGATGCGTGTTCGGTTTGTAGGTGAAGACTTTCTTCCGGTCCTGCTGTCATGAACCTCACAGCCTGACTTACACCTACACAGAACAGCTTTACAGTCAAATAAAATTAATCCTTTAAAAATAACCCTTTTATATATTAAAAATAACCCTTTTATTTATATTTATATAACCCTTTAATTTCTGATTATTTATAAATTAATGTTAGTTCCAGGCCAGAGGGAGCACCCAACCACCGAGCAACAAGGATCTAATTTTAATTTTGTCAAATTAAATCAATTATCGTAATCCCACTGTGCATCAAGCGCCTGCCGCCATTGTTTTGAATGCGCTCAAACACTAACCGGAAACGTCCAAGGAACAAAGCTTCTTACCCGTCATAACCGATAGTCAGGTACACAAAAGGTGAAGACAGGAATAAGGGAAATAAGGAAGAAGGCAGAGAAAGAAGAGTAGTTCTTAAAATAACTGTTTGGTCAGTTGTTATTGGAAGACGAAAAAATAATCAATAAGTTAATAGATATCAGACAATCTCCTGAAAAATTAAACAAAAAGATTTAATATTAAATTAAAGATTAAATAACGTTAATATTTAATGGTACGTTAAACGTAATATTTGAAGTTAATGGTAGCCCCCTAACATACTAAGAGCAATGATTATACATGATGTAACATGGTACACAAGTTACGTTTCTACCACTAATTAGATTACATTGAACAATTAAACTAAAGTAGGCAAAGTTACACTGTCCTTCACTAAGATAACAATTAAAATCAAACTTACAACGCAACAATTAATTATTACTCCGATCACTAATTTCCGAACTTACCACTCGAGCAATCGCTGCCATTCCTCAAGTACTTGGCTGCTGTCGTAGTTATATGTGATTGGTTGCGTCCACGTTGGTCGATACTGATTGGCTGCTGCCGAGTGGCAGGTCCCTCCCAGTGTTGCCAATTTGGGGATTTTCCGGAAGGAGGGAACCTTCAAGCCTGGGGCCCCTAGAAATGTCTCCACCTTTTGCCCCGCTAGCGACGGCCCTGTGTAGAACCATTGTCTGTCCCATACGGTTTCAAATTATATTTATTTGAACCACTCTTTGAGCTTCTTTCTTTGTGTAAAGGGTATAGGAAAAAGTACTATTTGTCAGAATCAGAAAGAGATTTATTGCCATTGCACACACAAGAAATTTGTTTTGGTGACAGAAAAAGCTTATAGTGCAGACTCTGAGACAACAACAGTGCACAGATAGTAAAATTAAAAATAAAGATA